ACAATATTCCTGTCAACAAGAAATTCTCACAGAAACCTGGCCCTAAATTAAAATCGTTACTAAACAAAAACTATTTAGAATCACACAATACTAACGTCATTTACAAAATAACATGCAACAACTGCTCAGAATTCTACATCGGAGAAACAGGAAGAAAATTGAAAACCAGATTGACAGAATACAATAAAAACCGTCCCATGTTTTTCACCATTACAACTCAAAAAACCATAGTATATCTATTAAAAACACAGTCATTTTAAACAAAGAACCCAACATAAACAAACGAAAAATCAAGGAATCCATCTTAATTGAACAAAACAACCCTACTCTAAACCAACACCCCGGGTCGCCAAGATGCCTCTTCTAAGTTTCGCAACAGTTCCGGTCATGTGACTTTTTGTTCAATACTGTATATATATCCGTGTCAGGGTAACTTACTTGTACCTGATGATGACAAAACCTTGTCGAAACGTCGTACATTTGCTGTTATGTTAAACTTATATTAAAGTTTTTCTTCATTACCCATTCAAGCCGTCTCCAGCCATTATTAGTTTAAGAAAACCTATCAAACTCAAAGGACGCCAAGGGAGCATGATTCAGCAGTTTTCGCCTCTTGTGCCTATTAAAAACTTAAAAATAAACAATAGTATTATACGTTCGTTGTGCAGTAAGTAAAGTCTAAAAGTGTAAGATTACAGCCTATACTTCGGTGTTATTATTTTAAACAGCTGAAACTGTGGCATACATTTTACAATTGTACTTAAATTTCTCTCATTCTTATCAAGTAATTTGTCAGCAAATGCTTACCCTCCAATCATGTAACAGTAACACTAACACATAACGTGTTATGTAGACAATGAAATCAAATATATCGTTAACACTAACAGCGAGAGTACTGATCTGATGAAACAATGCATTCTAATCTTCATAAGTAAGAAAAGTATATAATTGAATACTCATTACCGAATTGATTTTTAATTTTAATCCGTAGGTAGCTTGCTCTGATCAGAAAGAAGCGCTGATTTACACTGTGTACTCTAGCGACAGTGGACTCTTAAGTTGCACTCGCAAATACTTGATATAGGCCTAAACAAAGATATCGTTAAATTTTATATTAATATTATTACAGATTAGCAGACCTATCAATATTAACTAAGTTTGAAATAAAAATAAATTTATAAATATATTATTTAACTTAAAGCAATACACTGAATGCGAATTAAAAGTTCAAGCATAATTATTTTTAAATTTTGTACGTGTTATTGCATAGATGGTATAACTAGAAAAACACTGTTAGTTCTATTTTTCTTACACAAACTATAATCAGGATTAGAATGGGCTTGATTTTACATAAGGAAGCGAAGTAAAATCCTACCTTTCACTCTGATTCTGAACCTATCACTTGCAGCACGACAGCATTAAGTGTTCCCACTGTTTCTTTCTCGGGTAACACTAACTAAGAAAATAAAGCCGTAAGACCGAGTGCTGTAGTCACGTGACATACTAACTCTTACATCACAAGCTCTCAACCATAAATATCATTTTTAATCATAAAAGGGTCTCATAATATAAGATTGAAACCATACTCGTCATTCTTGACGGGTAGCTTGACGATGTTTCCATACTTGGGTGGTGTAAAAAATTGATTTGTTTGTTGTGAAGCAAAAAGTTATATAATCATCTTTTTCTGCTGTGCTCACTGCAGGATTCGAACCCTGAATTTTAGTGTTATAAGCCCTCAACTTTGTCGATGAGGAGGGTTCGAGGAAATGAAAGAATACAACACAATGCATTGAATAATAACTAAATATTTAAATAAATGCATTTGACATAGTTTTTAAAATTTTAACCAAATCCTATCTTGAAATATATATTTGCTTCGTTTTTGGTATTCTGTAATTTCGATAAAGTGACAGTCGTAAACACATCCGTGTGATGTTTCGTATTACAGGGTTGTCAAGAAAATACAAACTTTTTGCTATAATTGCAATAATGAAACAAATATTTGATTAAAAACCGTGTCCTAGTAGTTTTATATTTAATGTGGTAGTGTTATGTATCTGCTTATTTGTTAATTTCCGGTATAAATTCTTTCCGAGGAACTTCAGCGATACAAGTCCCTTCTTGATTAAAACAGTTTATTCTTTCTCGATATAGACTTTTAGTACACAGTAATTCCACAGTCAATACGTTTCTCGTCACCTTAAACTTAACAACTTTTATAATACACGCTATAAATCACAGCGATTCACAATCTCGGTAACTTTGCTCTCTACGAGTGCAAAACACACACTTGCTCGAAACATAATCATAAATTACCCCAAACTCACTGTACTACTGTTCGCTTTTTTAATCCTCTGGCTTTTCTCTGTCAGGCTTATATACTAACGAAGAGGCATCTTCAAAATTCGCGGAGTTCCCCGATAATTCGAGAAATTCAGTCACGCATGCGTCAGCAGCGTCACGTGACTTCCGCTGTCGTAACGGTAGTCTAATTTGTCATCTTTATACCTGATTAATACGAGATGAATGATCTAGGATCTTGTAACTGACAAGAACATTGAAATTCTTTTAAAAATAAACTTTATTTAAACGAGAATGTTTTATGTATTTGTATTTTCTGGTGTTAATCACATGGTCGATATTTATAGACTATATTTTACTTTATATCTGTATTGTTTTATTTAAAAATAAATATATCGTCAAGCCTGTAGTGTGTGTAATAATCAGAAAAGAAGTTAAATTATTTCTATTCCCCTACTTATACAAATACTGTTTATTCACAAAATATGAGACCTAAAACATTTAGTCTAGACTCTAGAACAGGGGTCACCAAACTACGAGGCCAGTTCATCCCGTCAGCCACTGCACTGTGCCACAAATGAGCTAAAATATAATTATTTATATGGAAATATCATAGATTGTAGATAAACTTACTATGTAAAAAAAATTAAAATAAGTGTAAGTAAAAATGTCCAAATTTGTCCAATCTGATTTTTGCATCTGACAGTAATATAAGTTTAGGAAAATCAGTGAAATAAAACATTCGGCAGCTTTTTGCGACTTTGGATATCAGAGCGCTTTTTGTGTAAGTACCTGCAATGAGAGTTCATTCCCGCAGTCACCTCTGCCTGCATTGTGTGTGCATCACAGAAGAGTTGGCATCCGTTTGC